CATTCAATGGCACTCTGTAAATCCAGAAAGTAGCTAACTTTGCCTATACTCAACAGAAAAAGAGGCAGCAGTTTAACGTAGAAAGTAGTTTGGTAGCAGGAACTGTTAAAAACTGGATAATAACAATAATGGCCAATACTTATTCAGCACTTTATTGGAAGATGTACCTATGCAAAAGACAATAGGAAGTTTGGTAGCCTGGAAAAATCATCCACACGTGTCTGTCCTAAAGAGTCAGCCACACTCCGCAGGAGCACAGGCCTCTCGGAGCATGCACTTTGTTCTTTGGTTTTAAAGTCCCATCCGAATGCACAGAGTGGATCTCTTGGCACTCACTCAGCTTGGCTGCCAGAGAAGAAAGGCCTTTTATAGAATTTTAACTTGGGATTCCTTGAAGACATCTAAATCATCCTCCACAATGCCATGTGTCCCCAAGCCAACCAGAGAAAAAGAACTACAGCATATCCTTTTCAGAAAATGAAGAGTTGATGTCTGGGCTACCTGTCAATCACTCGCTGTTCTTTCTTCTTCTATTTGCCCTTTTGTGGAGAAGGTCAATGCTGAGTTAGTACTTTGTGCTGTAAACAAGCTGCTAACATTCTATGCTGGGCATTATTTCCCCGGTGCCTTTCTAATAGGATGCCAGGCCTTTCCTAAACTATGCCCTACAATACTTAACTTGTTTGCAGTGGGTGGACGATGGAAACACAGTCTATTGCTTCCTTCCTGAAGTTTAAAGGGTCCATCATCTTTCTTTTCTATTTTGCCCCCTAGGCAAGTGCCTCACACGGCACCCCCCCCCCAAAAGAAATAGATATGGTGAAAAAAATCAGAAGTAATAACATCCAAAGAGCTACAGCTCTCACTAACTGAAAAGACTACATTTCCAGAGCTCTATAAACAACCTTGCAAATGTGGCCTAGCTGACATTGTGGTCAGGAAGGACACTGCCCTTGTTAGCTTAGAGCCCTCTACTTCTGACATCCTGCCTTCCTCTGTTAACCAGCTAAGGTGGTGGACAGCTGATGACATTTTAAGTTATATTGTTAGAAAGAAGTCTTTGAGGCACCAGGTTTTATCTAACCTCTTGGAATGGAAGATAGCAGGTCACCTCCAGAATTAGAAGAAACTGCAACAAATCCAAACCAGAAACCCAGCTTAACTGTAAGAAATAAGCAAGTTGGTGTTTTGTTTGTTTTGTTTTGTTTTGTTTTGTTTTTTGTTTTGTTTTCCCTCTCAAAGCTTCAGATTCCTTAAAGGTCAAATAGTCAAGATGCCAGTACCCATCCTGAGGACTAATATGAGAAATGACAAAACATATGCAATGGGCATGTATGAACTAATCCTTACCACGTGGTCGTTATTCAACTGATGGCTACTGTTATTTCCACTCCATTCTAACAACCATCTATGAGGACTCTGACAATTCCTCTGCAGCCTTAGGTACACCATGAAATCTTAGCAAGCCTCAGCCTGGAAATGGAGTGGATACAAATCAGGTCACCTTGCCAAAATGGATGTGAGGAGCCAGTGAGAGGATTTACTCAACCGTAAAGCCTCAGCAGGTGTCAAACAAGATTCTTGTGATGCTTATTGTTATTAACCTTTGATGATCTTCACCCTCAAAAGGTCCATGGGTAACTCTTCAGGGGAAAGTTTGAGAGCTATGGAAGAGAATAAATGACCTCTATTACAGATAATCCCTTCCCCAGTTCATTCCCTAATAAGCTGGTTAGCTCTTCTTTCAGAAGGGTCAGTTTCTTCCATCAACGCTAATGAGCTGGAAAACCGGCATTATTTTTTAAAATAATCTTACCTTCTCTAGTGTCAATAGGAAATAATATTTACTCACTACTGTTTTCCTTTCAAAACTCTAGCTGCATACTAGAAACAGTTTCAGCTGCTTTGTTTGTCTTGGACAAGCTGCTGAAGTGAAAAGTTTTTGCTTGGCTGCATGAGAAACTGTTTCATAACTGTTCAAGAAGTGCCTTGAAGGTGGATGCCAGCTCTGAGGACGGCTGCTTCTAGCAGGCCTCCACTTGCAGCCTATTGTCCAGGGTAGCCAGCATAATTAAATTAAGACAATGAGCGAAAGCAACCGATGCAACTGAGACCAAGTCCCTGAGTGCTTTTGTTCTTCACTAGCATTGTTTGCAACAAAGAAATCACATGTGAGCCTGGGAAGAGAGCCAACTGCAAAGCACACCACACAGCTGGTTTTAAATGGGTTCGCTGAGCCTTTGCGCTTGGAAAGCATGCTACTTAGGGCATTGGTGGGTGCATTTCAGCCCATAGGTCTGCTGAATGCTGAGACAGACCCACAAAATAACCACCAGGGGACACTTGTGCTCAACCTCAACCTGCCCACCTTCTGCTTTCAGAGAAAAAAAAAAAGACCCAGAATATAAAGTTCTGTAAGATAGTCAGTCTAACCTCCTTTTCCTCCTTTTAGCTGCTGTACAACCCTTGTGCATTTAAAAAGTAAAGTACAGAAGATAATTAACTGTGTTCTTCCACAAATTTGTAACTCACCTTGAGAACTGGGGATTCATCAGATCATGGAATTTGTTTCATGGTTACCAGTTCATTCTTGAATTGTTTTAGTGTGTGCATTTTAGACTCGCCATTCTTTGTTTCTAAGCTAGTGTGCATCTTAAATAGGAAAAGAAGGCTCAGATTCTTAGTGTAGTTCCCTCTCTGTTGGTTAATTTGGTTAATAGTTTTGCAGACTAGTGCTGTCCTTACAGCTATTTGAAGCATGTGGTGAGGTGAATCAAATGGGCCTGCACATAAAGTTCAAAATCGTTTGGGAACTTTGATTATCCTACTCTTCTGTCTTCCCTTCTTTTGTCTAGAAAATTGATTCTAAGGAGCAAAAGCTCACTTGTAGCTTAATATCTAATACTTTGCCCAGCAACAAATGCACATTAAGTGAATTTTATAATCATTGCATGCTATAAAGATGAAAAGCCTTGGTGCTTTTAAATGATGGCATCTCAAGGTGTTCTACTCAGGGCCCCCCTTCCTTCTGGCCTGTTCTTTGACAGTGGTCGTGGACCTGTTGCTGTAAAGAGTATTTTTTATGTAATGCCACCTTTCTTCTGTTCTGTCAGTATGATATTGACCATGGACTCACACAGGGCCAGTTTCCTCTCATGTTTCATGAAGGGCTCATTGGTAGAACGCATCCTCCCGGTCTCAGAAAGAAATCCCCACATGTCTAAGAGTCTTGGCTGATAGTTATTGGCAATATTCACCAGTATTAAGCCCTCTCACCATCCCTAAGTCTCTAAAGTCTATTAGTTCCTAACAGTGTTGCGATTGAATGGGTAGACATTACCTTAGGTAGAAGGAAAGGTTGGCAGTCCTGGCTGCCAGTGAGAGAATGACTGTTTGGTCTTGACATAAACATGTCCCAAGGATAAAGGATACTGTGACTTATGAAGTGTTACTCTATACCTATACCTCTCTATTGTATCTTCCTACAAAACTAGAGACAAACCCACAGTATTCCACGTTAGACTCTGAGCTTCAACAATCATGAAGCAGATGAGTCTTTGTCCCTATAGGACTTCTGTTCTAAACAGAATTCATCTTCCTTCAGTCATATCTTTATTTGTTGAGGAAATAATAATGGTATCAAGTCAAAGAACTTGGCATCTGGGCCTTAGGATTGTTACATTCCACTTAATATGACAAAACAAGGACAGGGAAGACAGGTCAGACAGTGAGGAACTCACCATGAGTACATGGGAGCCTGAGTTCAGATTCCTCAGCACTCGTGTAAAGCCGCCAGGGAGTAGGCATGGAAACAGGCAGATCTCCCAAGCTTGCTGTTCAATCCTCTAGCCATGTTCAGTGGAAAAAAAAAAAAAGATTGCAGTTCCACAGGTTTACCCACATTCACATCTGCATAAGCACATACACACACACACACACACACACACACACACACACACACATGAATACAAAGATGACACAGTAAAGAGAGGAAATGAATAATAACATCTAATACCTATGCTGATTATGCCTCCACTAGAGAAAGGGGCCTTCACAAACACCAGCTCCTCAATCTTAGAATGCAGCTACTGCTGTTCTGTTTTCTGGGTGAGGAACCCACTGTACACACAAGTACACAGGGCAGGCAAGCAGAAGAGGGTGGGATTTGAGCTTAGCTCGGTGTGTTGTGATTTTTTACCTGGCTTCCCAGTCTTCTGCTAAATGCTGCTTCTCTCCATGGAGGAGGGGTGAGGACACAATTTAAAGCAATATTTCTTTTTTTACAAGACAGTATTGTAAAACAAGCTGTAGCCAGACAACAGGGGTAACCTCAGAGTCTGATGAGTTTGGGGTGTTGTATTTGCTGGTTTGGTTTGGTTTTACTCACTGGGGTGGGGGGGGGAGACTACATGTTCCAGTCAAGAGGTTAGAGTTCTCAGCCCTCCTTCCCAGGAATGAGTCTGGGATGGAGGCAGATGGAAAGAGTGGCTTCTTGGTGTAATTACAAAGCGATGGTAACTACGCTACATGGGAGCTCACAGAGACAAGTCAAGTTCGGCTGAATTATTAGCTAAAGGCCTGTCCATCTGTGTGTTTCTCAAAGAATTTGAGACTTCAAACCTTCCTTTAGCTTGGTCGGTGAGGCATAAGATACAAAAGCCAGTGTGAGAAATAGCGGGCAGTCCCTAGAAAGAATCAGTACCAGTCTCCTGCAGCACAAGAACGAAGGGGAAGGCAGTTAAGTTACAAGAATTTATTGCCCATCTTGTAAAGAATCACAGGAGAGTGCGGAAGTTACCGTCATAGAGAAATAACAAATCTGTAAAGGTTCTGAAATACTGCTTAGTCTGTTTTGGTCCTTACGCTTTGCACAGGTGTATCAAGTTCATTGTCTATCACACAGTGACTAACAAACACAGGGATAGAGGAATCGCCCGAAGACATAAATGGATATATAAAGCCACAGCAACTTAAAGGCACCTTTTCTTTCTTCTTTGTAGGAAGTACACTTGAAGAACGCAAGTAGAGGGACTGCAGCAAACAAGAACTACAGAATGTAGGAGGGGCCTCCAGAGCAGCGGAGAATGTCAGCGCAGGACCCTTCGCTTTGGAGGCACAACCTGCGGCACATGGAAACACCTACCAAAAAAGAATAATAAGAAGTTCAATAACATTTCAAAGATGGGCATTTCCCCCAATGAAATATACAAGTAAACATTCCAACATTGTCTTTAGGAGTGTTTGTTAAAAGCTTTGCACCTTGCAAAAGTGGTCCTCGAGTGGGTAGATTGCCATTGATCCTTTATCAATAACGTTCTATAGAGAAAAAATATATATATATATATATATAATTATATATCCTAGTCCCTGCCTCTCAAGAGCCGAAAATGCATGGGTGTTAGTTAGATCCAGTTGCAGTAAATTCCTCTTTGAATTTTGGCTGCTGAAGCCATTCATTCAGCAACTGTGTAAGTGGTTTATGAATTGTTTTCCTGTTGTTTTTTTTTTGTGTGTGTGTGTGTGTCTTCTCACATAGCTCCTGCTGCTTGTTTTACAGAGTCCAATAACTTTGTCTATCTCCATTAGCCCCGCCCCTTCCTGACATTTTTATTTGTTGAATTTGGCCTCCTCAAAAGCAATAGCGAATAAGTAGTCAAATGGCCCACCAAGTTTTAACCCACCTGATTCCATCCGTGGCATTTGTACCAAATATAAGTTGGATGCATTTATTTTAGACACAAAGCTTTATTTTTTGACATCATGTTACAAGAAAAAAAAATAGAATGACAAAAACTGCAACTTTATAAAGTCAATGATTTTTAGGAGTGTGTTTGAAGCATAGAATGTCTCTTAAACTTTCAATGGTTCCTTCAAATGATAAGTTAGTATGTAACCTAATTAGCAGTTTCTCTTTTTATTTTTTCCATATAAAGCACTATGTAAATTTAGCATATCAATAATACAGGAAATATCAAACAGTATGTAAAACTCTGTTGTTGTTGTTTTTAGTACAATGGTGCTATTTTGTAGTTTGTTATATGAAAGAATCTGGTCAAAACTGTAAAAGGTGAAAGCAAAGCAAAAAAAAAAAAAAAAAAATGAAAGCCTGGAGCCTAAGATGACAAAATGAGAAAGGAAACTGAAAAAAGAAAGAAAGAAAATCCATCCTCTTGGGAGATGCAAAGGCATCCTCAGTTCTGCCTTCCAAGAGGGATATAAGATACAAAGTCCACTAAGATACACGTACCTGTCAAGTCCAGAGAGGAAGCTATGGAGTGGGACCAGCAAGAACCTAGGGATTTTAAGAGTCCTAGTTTCTTTTTACCACCGAAGAAATAAGTATTTGCAGCCTCTGCCACATGGAATCACCACCGTGTGACCTTGCTAAAGTCACTCCACCTCTCGGTGCCTCAGTTTCCTCATCTGCAAAATGGGGGCAATATGTCATCTACCTACCTCAAAGGGGTGGTATGAAGATTAAAAAGATAGACCTTCAGATTTTTGCTCTGGGTTTCCAGGAGGGTGTAACATCAGAACCCTTGAGTTGCTGGGATGCAAGGAATTCTGTAAATAACCCATTGACAATGTAGCTCCAAGGATCATTTGTTCATCAGTCACTGAGATGTCACTATGATATCCAAGTTCTCATTGGTGAAGCTGTCCAACTAGTGACTCAGTCTCTGCAACACTTCACAAAGTAAGAGACATTTGATTTACAGTTTGATTGACTTCTGCATTTGAACTCATGACTATAAAGACAAGTGAAGAGAAAGAAAGAAGATCCTTGCCAAGGTAGTTGGCAAGGTAGTTAATTATTCCATTTATCCACTCTTGCTCTTCCTTCCAGACACTTAGAATCTAGCCACAACTCTAACATTATCAGTGATACTTTACTCAGTCTGAAACTGCATTTGCCTTCCCCTTAGCATATAAAAAAGTCCTTAATATTCTTAAATTTTAAAAATAATATCTATTGAAATCACAAGTTACCTTAGTGGATATATAGTCTTACTCCTGCTTGTTATGTATTTGTTTTCTTTTGTGAAAATATGCTGGCCGGAATTGCTGCTGGAGAAGCAAAAGTTTTTCTTCTCAACCCTGAGACTCTCCCTAGTGTCTGCTCAGAAGGAAGAATCCAGCAGATGTGTAGGATACATTCAACTGGACATTGATAGCCAAAAACATCTAGAAAATGTTCTTTATTTATGGAGCAAGATTGTCTCCCTCTTTAGAACAACAACAACAACAATTATCCAATATTACATCTCATTATCTGCAGCCTTGATTCTCCCTTGTGAGGGTTCTTAATATTCTTATAAAACGTATAAGAAAAACAAAAGAGACATCTTTGGTTTTCCTTCCACCGGCTTGCCTCTAGACTCTCTGAGGAAATGCAGAAAGTGCTTGAGTAAAGCCCTCAGAAAGATTTGGCTTAAGAATGTCAGGCTACACTGAACATTCCCTGATTAGAGAGATGAAATGGAATAATAAGCCAGTTTTGCCAAGTACCTGTTTCCCAGAGGTGTGGTGGGAAAGGTTGGACCCTCCCATACTCAAGGTGGCATTTCTGACTTTCAGTTCTTGTTCACAGTGTGTATCTTTTAAAATTGGTGAGTCCCAGAAAACCTTATAGGTGGTCTTCTGCAGATCTGTGGGTTTCCTGCCATGGTTGGATATGGTAATTTCGAGTGTCTATCACATATTTTGTTCATTTGATTCTATGCACAGTCAAAAATTCTCTCAGTGAGAGAAGCTTAAATATGTAGTCCTTTATCCAATACACAATTATCTCCAACTGGATCAGAAATCAACTAATAAAAATTAATTATACTAATTAATTAATTACATCAATTAATTACACTGCAGTGTCATTATACCTTCAAATGAATGAACATTGTAAGATAAATCTAAATAAACTCTGAAAGCCAACTGATCATTATATGATGAATCAGAATGGCTCAAAATTGATATGAAGGAACACTTAAAATTTTACAATTTAGAATTTCATAAGCTTTGCTATGGAGTTAAATTGCTTTAATGTCTACAACTAAGTTTACAAAAGAACTATAAAGATAAGTAGAAAGGAGTTTTCATTTGATAGGCTTATTTCTGATTTAATTAAAAATACTCAATACATAGGTCAAGTTTTGATCCTGCTCTCCAAAGAATATCAAATGTTTGAACATTGTAAGATGAGTCGGTTCCACTTAGGGAGTTATGTATCACGCCACTATAATCTACTCTCCTAGGGCAAAAATATATTTTTAAATACCTACCCTACATGTGTGTGTGCATGCACACACACACACACACACTCCCCTCCTCAGCCTAAGAGACTCCAATTGGAATAGCAAGAAGAAATCATTTCATTGACAATATTATTTCTTTTAAAAATCAACCCTGCCCCCCTTGGGACCGTTTCCCTTCTTGGAATGTCCATGTGAAATGTGGTATGTCCGTGTAGATTTGACCATCTCCTAGCCCATGGCTCCAGGGTTCCTGTTATGGGTTTGTGTACTTGGGAGGATGTTCGGAAGACAAGAGGCAGCGTGTTTTGCTTTCCCATTTATTGTTTGGCCAGTTATGCCAATGTGGTGCTATTGTTTCTTTAAGAAAGTACTTGACTAAAAAAAAAAAAAAAAAAGAAAAAAAAGAAAAAAAGAAAGCATAGACATATTTTTTTAAAGTGTGAAAACAACAATTCTATAGATAGATGGCTTCATAAGATAGCATTAGATCTAGCCACCACCTTTCAGCTTTATATCACTCACGAGGAGAATATTGTTCACCAAGTTGTAAGTATGGGGGTTCAGAGACAGAGCATGAAAAAAAAAATTAAAGTTAGGAGGCTCAATTATTTCACTGGTTCTCGATTATTTTAACAAAATTAGCAATACTTTCCCCAATCTAAAATGTTGTTCAATAGCATGGAGTAAAAATGGAGGTAGAAAAAGAAATTAAGGCAAATGGCAGAAGAAGAGAATTAAGCTACTTCTTGTTTTTTTGTTGATTGTTTGGGTTTCTTGTTGATTTTTGGTTTCAGTTGGTGTGGGTGGGTAAATGTACATGCAAATGAACGTGTGTGTGTGTGTGTGTGTGTGTGTGTGTGTGTGTGTGTGCTCTACTCTAAAACAAATATTCAGAAAGTGGAGAAAATAAAAACAAAGATTTTTAAGAATGTAGACATACCTACTACCAGAAACAGCTTCTGCAACGTCCTCTGAGGTATGCACTGATGTTTGGCTTGTAAGGATTGCTATTCCATCAGACATCAAGGAGTGCTCGCTCATGGCTCTCATTGGAAAAGATTGGGAAGTATTTCCTTATGAGATGGGGGTTATCTACTGACAAAGGAAGAAAAGAATTTATGAGAAATTGTTGAAGAAGATGGCTAACAATCTGTGAAGATTTTGTTTTTGTGTTGGGTTTTGGGTTTGATTTTTTTTTTTTTTTTACTACATACAATCTTTATAAATGAAAATCTTAATGTTCAAAAATGACTTGGTCTTTTTTCTCTTTCATAATCAAATGCAGGATGATAAACTCACATAGACTCTTTATAGGCTAGCTAGAAATGTGTGGTTTGACTTACTGAATCAGACTGTTTTGAATAGTCCTTCTAGTTTTGATCACAAATTGTCTTAATTTGTTAGTGTAGGCCCTGCTGGGCTCTTCTCATATGTATGAGCATTCCCATCCAAAGCACGTGGTTTTGCCCATGTCTTCAAAAGATGGATAATTAATATTAAGGAACTATTTGCTTTAAAATACAGTAGACAGCTTGAGTCTCTGTCCTCACTCCTGACAAAGATCATCAAGTCCTGAATCTGAGAGAAAAAAAAAAAATCTAAGGGAAAATGTTGTTGCTTGTTTTCATTTTCAATGCTAGTGCTTCCCTATAACACACATTTGCTTATTGCTATTGTGGTATTCTTTAAGATGTTCCTGTTAGGCATTAGAAACTGATACATAGATACCTTTTCTGTGTGGTTTCTATTTAAAAGAAAAGAGACAAGACTGTCTGAAGCTTTAGCGCATAAAGTACATGATAAAGATATCGATTTAAATAACCAAGTCTTATCTACTACAATCCTTTCTTTTTTTATCAATTTAAGGAAAAAATTCCCAGATAAGATAGAGACCCAGGGGACCTTTGAAACTGTCTTTGTTCCTCTTGTTCCTTTTTTTATTTTTCTTTCCAAATGTCTGAATTTTTTAGAGGCTGACC